TCATCAATTCACTTTTTATAAAAATTATTTTACAATTGTGTTTACAAGAAACACTATCAGTTGAATCTTACAACTTGTTTATTTTTTTATTATAAATACCAATAAATGTATATATTATTAATAAACCATTCTCATAACATTTTGTATTGTTTTTTTTTATGTTGCCCTGTCTGAAACGTTCTAAGCTCTATAGAAAACGTGGCGTATGAAATGACTGACAATCACTAGAACATTTTATCTAGCTACAAAGATATTTTACGTTTTCGTGGCCTCCACATGATATTTTTCTCAGCACTAAGTACACTTTTTTATCTCAAACGATTATGAATATTGCATGTGTACATGATACAAAAGTAAAGTAGCAGGCTATATAAGTCCCTCTGCTGGGCACAAGACGCTTCTTATTTCTGAATGGGTTTTAGGGCAAGGAAAAGTCCGACGCGCTGTCCCAATGCGTGTTGGCGAACTTCACGTTTTCGAAAATGTTTTTTCTTATTCTTCAGAAATGCAGGTTTCCTCACGATGTTTCCCTTAACCGCCGAGCACGTGCTAAATTAGCACTTAAAATTGCAATTAAAAATTTCATTGGTGTTGCTGGGGATCTAACCTGAGTTACTGACTAATACGACACAAATAAATACGATTCAACAAATATAATAAAAACCCTTACCTACTTAAAACTTAAACACTTGATAGCTCGTAATGCCTACCAGACGAAGCCACAGCACCACATCTTGCAATGTAATTGAAGATGCTCAACCGCGACATAACTCTCAGTGATGCGCAAGCATAATAGGCAGTATATTACTTATATACTTGTCACCTCTGCAGTCTATTAATCTTTTGACTTTTCTAAGTACCTAATACAGAAAGTAGTCGCTAGACGGTGTTGACGTTGACTAAAATCTCTGCGGTCGCCGTTTCGTCAAGGTCATTCAGGCTTCTTAAAGCCTTAAGTAAAATATTTCAATCGCCCTTTATCACACTAGCACTAGCAGCCTGCAGTATTCGTATCTTGTGTTGTCTTTATATAGTAACGATCATAGTCAAGCACATAGTCATAATGCAAATACGTTGCCACCACTAAATACTACGGGTAAGTGTAGTTTTGACCACAACCCAATGATTCTGCGGGCGGCAGTCGAATCGATCGCCAAGTGTTTCGTATTCGCATCGTGTCTGCATTTTGATTCTTATTCGAGGAAAGTTTGCGGTGTCCATGGCCCAAAGTATCCGCTTACCATTGGATCTTAGCATTGGATGAACTTTATGCCCGATTATCGACTTTGCTGTTTTTAAAAAATGACAAAATAATTTTATTCAGATACATCTCATATTCAGCAGTTGAGTCGAGTCATCCACGAAATGCGGCTCTATGAAAAAGTCGACAGACAGCAGAAAGAAAACAGGAGCTGCATTAGCAAAAATTGCGCCTGCTTTAGAATAAGTCTATTGTAGTAACAGGAAAACCAATGTTCTATTATTTCTACTTACAATGAGCATATTTTTTTTAAATTTGTATGAATTACAAGAACTACTACACTTTTTCTAACGCCTTTTTTTTTCAAGGTTTAATTACATAACATTTAATAATAATATATGTGTCATTTTGTTCGATAACTTGTTGCCATTTTGTTGATAGTGAAATAATCCCGTTGCTGTACACATTTCGAGATTTTTGATAAAAAAATGCGACAAGTAGTTTTGACAGTCCTCTTTTGATATTAACCTAACACTACCCAAATAATTCTGAAGAGACTGACACACTTGAAAATCTGAGTGTGCAAGGTCAGTACTATAAGGTAATTTTTGCCGAGTGTCCAAAAATTAGTGTGGGCGTTATCATAATGAAAGATCACTCCTTTTCTGTTGATCAATTCTAGCCGTTTTTTCTCAATTTCTTGCTTGAGTCTCATTAATTGTTGGCAGTAGAGATCTTTGGTTGGGCTCTTTCAAATGGGTCAAAACTGTTTTGTGGTCAATATTCAATTCCTCGGCTATATGTCGTTACTACTAATGTGCTGATCTTGCTCCACTTTTTCAAAAATGGCATCGACTTTATCCGTATGAGGACTACCAGAGCGAGCTGCATCTTTGACATCAAAATTCCCGGACTGAAAACGCTTGAACCAACTTTGTGCTACTCTTACTGACGCTGAATTAGGTCCATAAAAGTCACAAATTTTTCCGAAGCTTGAGTTGCATTTTCCCTTTTTTATAATAAAACTTCAGAATGTATCGAATTTTTTCGTTAGTTTCACTCATTTCGGCGGAAAGAAAAATAATTGAAAAATGGCGGGAAAGTGTTTTTTTACTTATTTCCTTTTTCTTAATGTCCTATATGTATTGATATTAAAACCAGCCAGATAGAAACAGTACAACCAGAGATTTTTCTTCAATTTTATACAAACAAAATACGAAGAAACTTTTTCCCCGACCTATTATAAAAATCAATTGCTGTCCGAAAGTCTCGCTAAAACTTGAAACTGGTTCGACCGATTCTGATGAAATTTTTTGTGTGTTTGAGTGAGACCCTGGATGTTTTAGATTCACAATTAAATCCGGTAGGTGGAGCTGTTGTCGAGACCCAGAAATCACCAGCGCGAAGCCGGGACGGAAAGCTCATTATAAATATAATTAAAAAACATTTTTTTCTCTGTGTATATCTGTTTTCTATCAAATTTTGTTGGTATTTTTTGAATGGCGTTGTGGCCCCTTTGAAGGACTTTGAAGAACAAAATTGAAGGTGGAATCTTAGGGACTTTTACTACCGGTTTTCAGCCCACGTTTAGAAGCACCGTTGTAATTCAGAGTTGAAGTGATGAGATTTGCTGTGATCGTTACTTACACTTGCAAGTGGCTCCAATGACGATGTGTACAGCTGTCCAGAGAAACTCTCAATCACACTCACCTCTCTTACAGTTCAGTCAGTCTTCAACTTCCACAGTAGGCACTTAGTTACCTTAGTTACGCCAAATCGCTTCTTCATTGCCAGCTGTATTCAAGTCCAATATATTCAATACTGATGGCATATGCTTTCCATGAATGCTAATGACACGTGGATTTTCAATGCCGTCGGAGATTTGACTACTTTGTTTCAGAGTAACAAACATGAAACACAGAACTCTTAACTCAAAACTCTAGATCAGTGATGCACAGACTTATTAAGACTAGGGGCCACTCGGGCAAATTATGAACTGATGGCGGGCCGCCAGAAGTGTAGGTAATTAAAGACAATAAAGAATTGATAATAATGTATTAAAATTGAAAAATAATTTATTAATTTGAAGCGTGGCATTGCATAGTGCTTACAATGTTTTTTATATTTGGCTCAAATTTACTTGTACGAGGGCGGCACTGAAAATTTCGGGAATCAAGGAAGTGACACAACATTACTATTTAAAATATATTTATTGCTTTTCGAAATATTCTCCGCGAAATTTGACACATTTTTCCATACGATGAAACCAATCATTGAAGCAACCATTTCATTCGGAAGTTGGGGTCTCCAAAATGGCCGTTTTGTAGGCGTCCACAGCTTTTTCATGTGATAAAAATCTCTGTCCACGCAATTTATTCTTTATTTTAGGGAAAGTATAGAAATCATTAGGGCTTAGGTCGGGGCTGTACGGCGGATGGTCTAATAATTCTATGTTTTCTTGCTCTAAAAACTCTTTTGTTCTGTGTGCGGTGTGAGAACTCGCATTGTCGTGATGGAGGATGATGCGGCGGTTGCAGTTCTCTTTACGGAGTTCAGAAACGACCTGTGGCAAACAAATGCTAGCATACCATTCTGCATTAACCGTTCTTTGTCCCTCAAGAGGAATAGTTTTAACATGGCCGGTTTTGGAGACAAACGTGGCCACCATTTTTTTTGCAACACTCCGTGAACGAACAATTTTTGTTGGCTTTAACTCATTTTCGAACACCCAAACTCGTGACTGGTTTTTTGTTTCGGGTTCGTACGCGTATATCCAGGATTCGTCACCTAATATGATGTTGTATACAGCATTTGAGGATCCTGCGTGGAATCTTTCGAGAGTTCTGACGCACCAAGTAACGCGAGCCGCTTACTCTATTTTTACTCTTCACAGAGCGAATGCGGTATCCATCGGGAAAACAACTTTTTTACACCTAATTGTTCATGCAAGATTATTTGTATTTGACTCATGCCAATGTCTAAAGTTGCCTGAATTTCGCGGTATGTCACATGTCGATCTTCCTCAATCAGCTTACGCACAGCATCAACGTTTTCTTGGGTGACTGCAGTTTTTGGACGACCTTGACGGGGATCATCACTGAACTTGACACGTTCACGTTGAAATTCACCAAACCAGCGATAAATTCTGGTTTTGGATGGGGCTTCATCACCAAATGCAGAAATCATCCGGTCAACACACTGTTTTTGTGTTAAACCACTTCGAAAGTCATAATAAATCATCGCTCTTGAATTTTCTCGAGTCGATTCCGTTTTCTCAACGACTAAACAAGTTTGACAAAACCTTGTGACAAGACCGAGAATCTTTTTTTAAATAAATAAATGGTATTCTATTTTTAAAACCAAGGACTTTTCAATTAAAAAAAAATGAATATGACAGGAACAGTGGAAATACTCCATTCCCGATACTTTTAGTGCAGCCCTCGTAGCAACACGTAAAACTGCTTCCAAACTTTCATTTGCAAGGCGGTTTCGATTTTTTGTTTTATTATTATTTAGTATTGAAAAGGTTTGTTCACATATATAGGTAGAACCAAATAAGCTGGCACATTTCAGAGCGTTTATGCGCAACTCTTTGTACGTATTTTTATCAAAGAATCGGTAAAAGTTCAGCATGTCTCCTTCGTTGAATTTATTGCGTAAATCTTGGTCGTTTTGAATGTCGATAATTTCTAACTGCATTGACTCTGGCGCATTTTCAACTGAAATCGTGAAAAAGTTGCTGAATATATCCAACAGAGGTTTCACTTTTTTAAACTCCGACAATGATGAATCAAAATATCTAGATTTCTACATAACTGAAATTAATCGCAGTTTTGTTGAATTTTCCAGCCATTTTCTTATAATTCGGAAAATGATTGTAATTTCCTGAATTCGATTGCGATCTGAAAAGTGTCAGCTTGCATTGAAAGGATGATACATGAGCGTAGAGCTGGGATATCAGTTGATTTTTGCCTTGAAGCCGTGTGTTCAAGACATTCAAATGATTTGTAATATCAACTAAAAAAGCCAAATCACACAACCAATCAGGATTTTTAAGTTCCGGGACATCCCTTTGCTTTTCCGCCAGAAATATTCCAATTTCTTCTATTAAATTTAGAAATCTTTCCAGTGTCAATCCACGACTTAGCCACCTTACTTCTGCATAATACAGTAAATCTCCATGTTCGCTTTCGATGTCATCAAGGAATTGTTTGAATTGCCTGTGATTGAGTCCTCGTGATTTTATGAAATTTACAGTCGAAACTACCACTTTAATGACATTTTGAAATTCAATTTTTTTAGAACAGAGGGCTTCTTGGTGTATAATGCAGTGAAACTGCATGAGATCTTCAGCGTTTATGTTTTTTTCTTGCAGATGCTTTTTCAGCAAAGTAACTAGCCCAGAATTGACACCAATCATCGAAGGAGCACCGTCTTCAACGCGTCGCCGGCCGCGGCGGTTCCTCAAGAAAACGAATTTAACCGAGATCAGCACGAACCTTACCGACCGCTGTTACCGACGCATGCACGGCGCACCGATAAGCGCAGTTAAGAGCGCGCGCGCGAGATTTAAATTACTTTTCGAACATATTTTTTTTGGTTTTATTCTGGAATATAATTCAATATTTTTCGAATGTACGAGAGTATTATTTTTGCTGTCGGCGGGCCACCAGTATTCGACCGCCGGGCCGCGGTCTGTGCATCTACGCTCTAGATCGTCGGCGGCCTCACCAACGCCAAGGCCGTTTCACATGTAAACGGTTCCTCTATTATACTTATTGTCCGCTCACTTACATTGATCCCTTTTGCCGTTTGTAGGCGCTGTTTTATTTCGACCGCAGTAAGGAATCGATTTCTCAAAATTATGAGATTGCTAAATTGGTCATCTCGCGCAGATGTAGGTACACCTAATACCACCACATCCTTGTCTCGTCATGTATAGAACGGTACCGTACTCTGTTAAGGTACCATAAATAACGTATTTGAGAACTGAACGCGATACAATTAAAAATTTAGCAATATCTCGCTGTTTTCGCCTTGACCGAAGCACATTTATATTAATTTAAATTTTTAATCTTTCAGACTGAACAACTATCTTCTATGGAACTCTTATCTGTGACGCTGTTAACGAAATTGTCTACTTATACATTTGTTATACCTTCCTCTTTTGATATTTTTGCTCATCTCTTCATCTTTCTTTAATTATGATCATTATAAAAGCGAGACTAAAAGTGAAAGCTATAAAAAACGCAATTTTGTCTTTTTATCAGATTTCATAAAAGAGGCAGTTGACTGTTGTCGAAGAACCTTCGCTCTTTTTGCAATATTAAAATTTTACGCAATGTCTTTGTCAATTGTGACTTTACTTTTTATTAAATATATTATTTCGTAGTAGTAACATTAAATATTTTAGTCCTTCCCAGGTCACGGCGACTAATACAGCTGCAACGTAAATATTTTTTTACTTTACTGTCTTTCTTATATACATATTGTTTATGGATTTTTTTCTACAAAAAAATTACATCCGTACTAGAATTTTCTCTTGTATCGTGGGGGCAGTTGATGTACACAAATTCCACGGTACAATTATCTGTAGGCCATAGAAATACTTGCTCCGTGCGAGATTAGAAACAGTGGTCCTCGGCGCTGCAACTCATCGCTAAGCCACAGCGCCACGAACCGTCGAACCGGAGCACTGAGCGATATTAACGGAAGAAAACAAATTGTCACTACATGACAACATTTATTAATGAAATAAAACATTTGGAAGATATACCGTTACAATACATTTCAAAAATTACATTTGACCAAAATTATTGTATTTTTATAAAAGAAATAAAATGTTAAAATTATAAAATGAATGGACACAGTATAAAATAAAATATCATAACCAAATATATCCCCTACAGCTATTGTTACGACCACTCCATATTGATGGTAACAATAATTATTGAAATATTTCACAAGTATAGATGCATCGTTCATTATTCGCGTCTGATAAATGTACTTGTAATCACGCTAATAGTATGTTCGTCTTTTAAGTCTATCCTGGCAACGAAGCCTTGTTGTCTCCATAAAAAAATACGTGTACACGTCTTGAGTGATGTTTAATTCAGATGTTTCACTCCTAACTATGCCAAGTAATGGACTTTCTTATTGAATGTAGGATAATGTTAAATAAATTTTGTTCTGAAAATATTTTGAAGCAATCGTACAAAAATACACGCCTTATGTTTTTTTATCACTTACCTTAATTCTCGTGTGACCTAATTGCATAAACCATAGCGCCGATACTCTATATTATTTTATTCAAATTTTCAATTACTTGATGTTTACTAACTTCGTATTTTAAGTGAAGATTACAAAATGTCAATTATAAAATATTGGTACTACCGAGTACGTACGTCTTTAATACATCTTTAAGGAAAATAATTACTTTGACGCACTTGCTATAACAAAAAAGTATTATAAGACATTAATAAATCATGGCCTTTTATGTAAAAAAAAAGCTCTTAAAACATCTTTAATTTTAATATTAAGTTTGATATTAAATTTAACTGTGTGTACGCAGTACGCATTACCAATTGTCAGACATATTGGCGTTAATTATAAAATGCAATATATATATAGCGTCGGTTAGCAAATTGAAATAGACTAAATTGAACAATTAATTTTTTTTTTAAATATTTTTTTACTTTTGCTCGGGTTTAAAATTTTGCTTGTTTTCATTTTAATCAATAGCGGATACATGTAAACGGACTGTGTAAATCCTTTTTTTTAACACGTTAACTGCCGTGGTCTATAAAAATTACAAAATATGCTTAAAATGTAGTTTATATACGCATTAAAACATTGTATAAATAAGTTACATACCTTTAATGTGCTATTTACATTTATCGATACTATATTAAGACAAGACCTCAATGGAACAATTTGTGTCAGAATTATAATCCGACAAGGCAGTTAACGTAAAAAAACTTTTGGGAATGTAATATAGAGTTCGAGTTATTTAATTAATATAGAGTTTTTAGGGTTTATCGTCCGTTACGTAAAATTTTTGAGTGATTCGTGACGCATGAAAATGGGAAGCTATAGGTAATATAGATTTCTATGGATATTTTTTTTAATTCCGTCGGCTAATTATAAACTGCATACTGCATCTTCGATTAAGATTTACGAACTAATATATTAAAAAATGTTCTAGATTTATTAAATGAAGATTATCTTTCAATATGCCCATGAACCCTTCTCGCACCATTAATTAAATCAAAAATAATAAATTACACGTATAGCTGTTAAAAATTTAAGCAAACAAGTATTTTTTTAATTTTGTATTTTTTTATACCACGTTTTTTTTTATCATATTCTTACATTGTCCCTCGAATTTGAGCTATATTCAAAATTTCAAATTTCCAGATCATCGGGAAGTTAGTTTAAAATTACTTACTTAATTCCACCGGGAACGGCAGACAGACAGACAGACAGACAGGCAGACAAACAGACAGGCAGACAAACAAGAAAGTGATTTAATAAAAACGTGGTAAAATAAATGTAAATAGCTGTTCTTAAGCCAACAAAGAATATTGTATGAAATATTGTGCATACACGTACTAACGCACACATCTCAAGCGTCTACAATCATTTGCAACCAACAAAATTTGCACGTGCATATGTTGTGTAGTGGACGTTTATAGGTTGTTAAAGAAAGAAAAACGAAAGAGCTATGCGTGAACGTGTGTCAAGAAGTTGAGCATAGCTCCGGCGTCACTTGAAAACTTGAATGTAAGTGATGTTTTGTCTCTTTCTTTGTTGGTCTAAGCAGCTGTAAAAAATATTGCCGCTTCACATAAATTATAGGTAGTATGTTACGTTTTTTAAAAAATCAATAAAATTATTTAAATCAAAATAAACAACACTATTCGATTTTTAATCATAATGTTGTCTGCACCAGTGTTGTGACACATGTTACATTTAAAACATCAAGATTCGTTATGAGCAAGGTAATATATTATTTTCTATCTGTTATCTGTACACCGCGTAGTTTCGGACAGTTGCCTTTGGCAGAACGGTTAAGTAATATAATACAATTTCAAGCAACATAGACAATTAAAATAACAATAAACGTAGAACGAAAGCAAAGTAGCGTTACTGTACTCGGTTCACAAAAAATATATAAATGCTTTATAAAAAATTCAGAAATCGTGGAATATTACAGGTGCATTTTTGTGTGTATCAAGAAGATTTTACGGATTGCATTGCATTCTTATCACAATGAATAGTAAAATTAAATATAATTAACCATCGACGGAAAAAATAATCCTTTCCAGGACTCAATTTCATCACAAAAATTCTTAATGGGGTAGCATTAAGTCTATATACCTAATTATCTTTAAGTTGATCAGTATGACTAACTAAATAGCTGCTCGGTAGCTCGTTCCAATTCCCAATCATATGTTGACAAAGCTACCCTCGCTTGGTGTTCATCAATACCCATATCTATCAACAGTTGCACCTTCTGATTGAAGTCAAATATTGAGCTTGGTCCACCAGCGTACACATTTGTCCAATGTTTTGCTGTCAAATTGAAAAGTTGAGGGCTTTCTCTATACTGCTTAGCGACGACCGCATCCTGTGGATCATTAGGTTCGGCTGCGGAGAGCAGTGCCTGTATCGAAAGAAGGACCGTACGTAGGGTCAATGCAGCAGCCCATTGATCTTTCAAGATATCTAAACATATTGCCCCGGTCACCGACGACACGTTTGGATGCCATATCTTGGTCATAAACCGAATCTGGGCAGAAAAACACAATCATAAATACAAAAAAGTCACTTCGAAAATATTTCACAAACTTTTAGTTACTATTACTATACCTTAGGTGGATTAAAAGGATATGTTTCTGGGACTTTTATCTCTAGAAGAAATGTTCCACCTTCGTATGGTGTATCAGGTGGACCAGCAATTTGTCCCTTAAGTTCTGTCCAGCTATCATTGACCAACTCTAGTTTAATTGCCCCACCTGCTACCTACAATAAAACAAGGAAATAATTATTAAAAATCAATACTCTTTCACAGTATTCTACTAAGTAATAAAATTACATGTATATCGAATTGGGTTTCACTTAAAAAAATATTTCGAAGACATGTGAAGTCCGCCAAAAAGCGGCGGCGCGGTGGACACTCCCTTGCCCTAAAACCCACTCTGTGATGTGAAGAGGCCTATGCCCTGGAGTGGAACGTATATAATGTATAACTTACCTAGTCAGGTCATAAATTCTGTCACATGTTTAATATAAAATAATTGAAACAAGTTTATTCATTACGTAACCATTTACATACCAAAATGAACTTAACAAAACATAGATTCTTATTATGACACTAAAGTTTATTCAAAATAACATCCGTGATTTTGAATACAGGCCTTCAATCTGCGCGGCCAGTCGTCTATCGCAGCACGAATGAGGTCCATGTCAATATCGGCGGCTGCCTTAATCAAGGATGTCTTGAGTGACTCCAAATTGGGATGAGGCTTTGAGCACGCCTTTTCCTCCAAGTGTTGCCATATCTTGTAATCTAACGGATTCAAATCTGGACTGAAGGAGGGCCAGTCTTCGTGCCGGATGAAGTCGATTTCACGCGCCGCCAGCCAGTCTTGTGTGCTCTTCGCTCTATGAGCTGGCGCCGAATCTTGTTGGAATACCCAGTGCCTGTTATTGAACATAGTATGAGAAACAGGTTCCACAAGGTTCGTCAGGACTGTATTTTGATATACAACTGCATTCGTTTACACCTTTCTCACAAAAATGTACCTCTGTTAAGCCCCAATAAGAAACTCCCAACCATATCATGAGCGAGGAAGGAAAATGACCTCGTTGGACACGCGGAATACTGTTGCTCGCTTCGTCACTACTGTGTGCGTACACCTTATCATTTCGTTTTTTGTAGCTCTCTTCTACGGTAAACATTTTTTCATCCGAAAAAAGAATTTCCCGATATTTTTTCCCGCGTACCGCTTCAACAAAGCGCGGCATCTCTTTAGTCTCAGGTCCATTAGACGAGCATTCAAACGATGTCCTATTTTTCTTCGATATGCTCGAAGCCCTAAGTCTTCATTTAACACCCTTTTTACCGTGGTTCTGCTTAACCCTATCTGAAGGGCCAACAATTTCTGCTTACGTTTGGGATTTCTTTGAATTCGCGCCTTTCACAGCTTTTATCACTGCTGGAGTCCTAACAGACCGAGGGCGACCACTTCTTTACCTGTCATCTACACTAGAGTCTTCATTGTATCGTTTGATGGTACGATAAACGAATGTTTTGGTTATATTCAAATTTTTCGGTATGTGAAAAATTTGAATTGGCGCGTAACCGCAACGATGCAACGCAATAACTGCAACACGGTCTTCTTTAAGCGTCCACTCCATATTTAAAAATGAGTAAAATTCTAAAAAGTATACAGTTTTATTTTCATGATCAATTTTAAATTCGAATTCAATAAACTTTTTTGTGGCCAGCATTCTAAAAGAAAAGTTTTTACTGTGTGACAATACTTATGACCTGACTAGGTATTAGTAAAAAAAACTCCTTGTACTAAAATAATATTTTCTGTTTCAGAGATCCATGATCCTAAATTAAACAAAAACTATTTTTTAAATAAATAGAAATTAATAGTCGTTAATCTTATCATCATACGACGTAAATTACGCATTTGCAACGATTATTCATACTCAAAATGAGATTATCAAAATCCCAGGATTGACCTCCTTGTGGGGTCGGGTTCATTTTCTGTCACCAGTTTTGTTGAAACATATGGGACGGGAGCGGGCCAGACCAGCTTCGCCACGTTATGCTGCTGCAACCACTGAGTTACCATTCGAGTCGTATGTGCGCGGGAGTTATTATGCGTAAACAAAAATCTAATCTAGGCTCATTTGCAAAGTTGTGGTCGCGCTTAGTCGTGTCACGTTAAAGACGGTATTTCCCGGAAGTTAAATTGTGGTGTACCCCAACGAGATCTGTTCTCCCGCCAAGGCGTATTCCCGCCCACATCATGATAGTTCCACCTTGATATAGATGGACTACCAGGAGATTTTGCAGGCGGCTCTCACGTCCGGGTGTTGCCAAACAACCGGAACAACAATCTGAAGCCGAACCGGGTTTCGTCTGAGAACAACATCCTAGACCATTGACGATTTCCAAAGTTGGTCAAAGGTTTATATTGCTCTATTCCGTATATTCGTCCATCTTCTCGGACTACACGAGTACAAATTACGAATGTAAGTGTGCATGATCGCAGCCTCAACCTCTTGGCCGAGGCTCATCGAGCGCAATTTAATGAGAGCACTTGTGCGAGTGTGTATATTACGAGACAGGGTAAACAAAAACCGTGTCACAGCTGTGAACCACGCGGGCTCGGTAGGGGGGGGGGGCAGCTGGCACGTTAAATATGCCACGTATAGTTGTATTTTCATTTACGATAGTAACTAGTTTTACTCTTAGGCAAATACGAAATAAACATACACATTTTAAATAAACTTCAAATCACGTTGAGAAAGTGCGCAAATAAATAATGACACAGTATTCTTAAAAACAAAGTCAAATTCAAATTAAACAAAATCAGTGTTAAATTTTCGAAAACAACGGTCGCGGTTTACAAAACAAAGAACTAGTCTTCTCGCCCGATCGCAGTCGACAAAGGGGTTACAGAGAATTGGACTTTAACTTAATGCGCAATGTATTAAGGTCACAGAGCCCTTCTAGTAATATACATAGAAGTCTTTGGGCACGGTTGTATTTTTGTTGAGTTGTGTTGTTTGCCAGTGTCAAATAATATGAATTTATTCTTTACAACAATTTGTTGATGTATCTACTCGACAGTATCTCAAGTTCTTAAGTTGACAAAACTATTTGAAATTCATATCAATTTCTGAGCACTTCTTTCCAGCAATAGTTTGCATGCGCACATATTAAATACATATAATTTAAAATTTAAAATTTTGTACAAACGACTTCAATATATATTATTAAGGATAACTCTAAAACCTTTGGTCAAACCTTGACCACGAGAAGCACTAGCTTTCAAATAAAAAAAGAATCATTGAAATCGGTTCACGTAGAACAAAGTTATGAGGTAACACAAAAAAACATACAGTCAAATTGAGTACCACCTCCTTTTTGAAGTCGGTAGAGAATCTGAATTAATGTAAAAAAAAATGTAGCAAGCGCAGCAATTTCAAGCAACAGATAATAAAATATGTACAGCAGGCTCTATAATAATCAGCGTGTTCAGTCTTTAGAATCCATTGTTAAACTTAAGACTTTCTAAACGACGCAAACATGCAAACATTTGTTGAAAGATTTGTGAATCATGTGGATTAGTGAACGCAGAGTTTTAAATTTCTATTAACCTCGCATTAGTATGTAATGATACTCGGCATTACCACTGTGAAATATTGATTTAGTTTTTATGAATGCATGAATGCATTTTCCGCTATAAGTCGGATAGCACAGGGTGGATCGCGTACAGATGACATTGACATAAGAATAAACAGTTGTAAAATTACCCATAAAATCCAGGACTTAATAAAGATAGTAATATGTTCAAAATAGAGAAAATCTCGCTCAGCACGCACGCACTCTAAACCTTAATCACATTAGAATACAGGATTACTGTAAACCAAATACGAGGCCGTCTACAAACAACAGATTCAGATTTGTTTCAAACACTAAGGGAAGAAATTAAACTTCAAAACTGTATATAATTTTAACTACATACGTATACAATACATGGTAAATAATATCAATGAAAAGGAAAACAAGTATATAATCTGTAATGTTTCCAAATGATTTAGCACAATTGTTAAATGACAAAATACTCAACACTAAAAGCACTGCAATTAATAAATTATCTAAGGCCCTCCGCGCATTAGGCAGCCTGGCAGCACAACCAAGCTGCGGCGGCCGAAATATTTGAGCAGTCACTTTTAAACGGCCAATGGACGGCCAGTTGAGGATCACTATATCCTTCTGAAGATATATCCCATATTGCTTTACGGATTTCAATTTCGCGAATAAATGTCTCCGTATCGAAAGTCATTTTGTGGTTTCGGAACACTAAAATAAGTCAGGCTGCTACGGTGCAGTGACTGGCGGCAGCCACATACATTCGCCTACTCGCTCTGGTCGCCAACGGGCTGCCGTGCAATCAGGCCCGCTTTTATGGCCGCCGCAGCCGGGAGTTCGTGGCTGCTTAGGTGCGCGAGCTCCCATACACCGTCACACCATCATATGTTCAACTGGCTGCCTAGTGCGCGGGGGGACTAAATGTTGTTTTAACACATAAGTAACAACGTAACACATTTTAGCAATTGTAGCTTTGAATTGAAGAATAAAAAGATCTTTCTCGAAATTAAGAAGGGAAACAAATTATTAATGTTCGACCCTTTGACAAGAAACAACTTTCACTTTTAGACATGAACATTAATGCACGTTATGTTGAAAGTTTGCCAAAATAAAACCATTCAATTGCTTTGAGAAATAAAAATAAAATGTTTTTTTATTATAATTTTCAAAGGGTGCCAAGATTAAAAAACCTTCCTATAAAAAACCTGTCTATGGAAAAATTAATACAGGATAAAAATAATTATCGATACCTACATATAAATATCATATAAGTCTGAAAAGACTGGAGTAAGTGCGCTTCAAATACCTAGAACAGCAAATTTGAGAGAAAAAAATACCAATATAAAAACTCTCTATGTTCTGGAATTACTTAAATATTAAGCAGCAATAATTGAAAAGGCAAGTGAGGTGAAGTAACCAAGACAGAGACAGTGATGTTTACATGTAAATCAGTAAGTATGAAAGTAATATTATGTTTTTGTTTACTTAAATATTCTGTTAGTTAGTCATAGTGATGTCAAGAATATCCACTACACTATTGTCCTGTGGGTGTCATAAAAGGCGACAGGGAGAAACTGAAACAGGAGATAAAAGCACCATCTTCCTGATAACAACTCAAAATTATAAAGAATTATGGTTGCTGAACCGCCCACCAAGCATGACAACTATGGCAAAATCCTCCCTATGTGCCAATATATGGGCGACACCTATGTTCAACAGGGGACTTTTTAGGCTGTCATGGATGGACGGATGAAATAAAAATGGATGCAAAACTGAAATAAACATCTTTATAATCAAATTTATTAGAATTGTAAAAACGCTCAGCAAACATAAATCAATTTTATACATTATCAATTAAAAAAATAATAGTAGTGAAACATTATATCATCATCATCATCATCATCATCATTACAGCCCTTCACAGGTCCACTGATTAACTGAATGCCATAAAGCGCACATGGTGACAGCCACATGCGTCTATCGACTTTTTGAAGAATCTACAACCAAGGCGGAAAAACACAATGTGTACAACCAATGGTGTAAAACACAATGTGTACAACCAAAGTAGTAGTTTCATACCACTAAGTGAATGGTGGAGTAGTCCCTCACTAGATGGAATGAAATGACCTGGTAAAAGATACAGGAATCATATATCATAACGAAAATACATAAAAATGAAAATTGATATATTATACAAGTCATAGTATAAGGTCAATTATTACCAAGAGTCTTAATTTAAACTTGTAAAGTTTATTCCGATCTATCAATGTGTACTGATTGATCATTGTCAGTGCTCTTTATTATTATAGATGCAACTGCCAATCAAAATCCTTGACGGAAGCAAGTCTTAGTAATGGTGTATTAAATAATACGTTATTGTTAAACATTACTTGAATTAATTATTTTAAATATTTCACATAAGATTTTTTGAGTAAAAAAAAGCAGTAGAGTGACATAGTCTGTAATATACAACTTTGGCCGTGGTAGGAAAAGGGGAGATCTCTCGCCGGGCAAGGTGTTCAGCCCGGGGAGCAACCAGCACTCTGAGTGGTAGTTTGGACCTATTCTATATATACTACAGTACTTCGGAACATTGATGGTGCGTTTCGCTATGGCGCGACGACAGCGCCGCCACATAACCTACAGCTCTACACAAGTCTCTTCCATTTGTGATTTTGGAATAGGGATGAGTCCACCATGAAAGACAGTAAAGCTATACATTTTTTTGCAACGAAGATTAAATAACAAAAACGGAGTCTCCAATACTTGTTGTCGGTCTATATTTGTCCTTAATAATATTTGACAAATAAATTTAAAAGTAAACTTCCTCACGGTGGTTTCTTTTACCTCTGAGTTTGTGGATTTACTACAGTTCTTAAAATTGCAATTAAAAATTCCACTGTTGCCAGTGGGGATTAAATTAAGTTTGCTTGTGTATGAAATTAAAGGAGGCTTATTTCCTGCCCGGCTAGCATGCGTGGGGGACAAAAATTTTATCCCCCGATTATATCCACTGACAGGAGATAAAATTATCTTGTTATGTCAAACGGGGAGAAGTATATCCCCGTTTGACATAACGAGTAGACATATATCCCCCGTCCGTAGCATGGAGCCAAATGAAAGATAAAATATTATGCTATTTTGACATTTGAAAGGGACAATTTTATCCTAGTTCATTGGACGTGGGTTTAAGTTTATATTCATACAAAAAAATCTATCTAAGTCTATCTCCCAATTTATCTACTGTGGATATTATATCCACCGGTGTGCCCATGCTCTAAGGGTGGATAAAACTCAGTGAGGGGATAAACATTTTCTCCTTTCCCCGGGGATAAAATTGTCCCTGGCCCATGCTTGCCGGGCTGATCTAACATAGCTCAAAATTGTATATACCAATTTTCCTTTTTTTACTCTGGCTTAAATTAAAAGAAGCATGTGGCCAATAGATAGATTTTAAATGTATATTTTTATACACATACATACAGCCAGAAACATTATTTTATAATCAGAATTTTTATTTACACAATTCTGTTCTCAGTTCTTTATGTGATATGGATTGGTCTTACACATACATCTTCATGACCACTTCTACAGATATCTTCATTACTGATTTTTTTATGCAGTGAAACCGGAGTATAAACCTTTTCATACTACACTGAGTGAAATAACAGGAAACATCTTGGTTTCATATCAATGGCAGCAAAGTAAAAATGGACATCCACAAAATCGCAATTTTACAGGAGAGCAGATTTAGTAAAAAATTGTGGTCATTTTGAGAGTTATGGACCGATTAACATGAAATTTTCTATGAAGCATTAAAATAGCATTCTTTATGAATTATGTAATTCATAAAGAATGCTATTTTTATCGCTATGTCGTTGTTTTACTAAAATAATTTAGATGTCCTTTTTACTCTAAAAACTTTGACGTAGAAGTAGTCATTTGCCTGATATCCGTTTATACGTTGATAAAAAAGCATCCATTTCATTTAAAATGTGTAATAATCTAAGATAATAATCTCCATTAATAGTTTTAATGATATTTAAAGAAAATCTAAGCAACATGCAAACATTATTCCCCATTTTTGACGAAATTTTGCAGATGTCTTTATTTACTTTGCATTTAACATTTTATTCATTATCAATTAATGAGTTACCTACAGGCGGACAAATTCAAATGTCCGTTTCTACTGGATGTTTTTTTTTATACTTTTATTTTACACTTTTCTACCCAAAAATTTTACTCTGTTAATGGGTTCTACCACAGGGATGCAAAGAGAGTTATTATGATATTGATGAATACATAGATGATAATCAATTAACCCCAGAAAACGTGATTGCTGCAAATTTGTTTCCAAATAGATATTTATATAGTGAAATCTTATAACTCGAATTTCAGGGCCAAAGCTTTAGTTTTAGTTAATGAATTTTCGATTTAACAAGAATTTCAAGATATAAAGGATTTAATTGCTTAAATTTCAACTTAGGAATGTGCAATTTATAGGTATATTTTTCAAATTGTAAGAGTTAAATACAAAGTCTCACTAATCTGGCACTATAACAGACCAGTGGGTAATGGATTATTGTAATGTTCGGATTAATGGATTGTATAGGAAAATTGAAGATAAATAGAGCATTACATACATATGTATGTACATACATATTTTTTGTGACATTGTTTATCTTACCTAACTAATTTATCTTATAGTAAACCTTAATTAAGATCTGTTTTTTGCAAGTTGAAGTTTTTGTTTAAAATATTTCTGATTCTTCATGCGTTCCTCTATATTCTGTCTGTTTTTCTTAAGATTGTGCACAGTAGCACGCCCAACTTCATAATCTTTTGCCAGTTTGCACATGTTTTCTCAACTATCTGACTTTTTTAAATCTCCATTTTCTCTTCCAATGCTAAAGTCTCATGTTTCTGTTAGCTCGACATCTTGATCTTTGCTATTTTAATAACAAATCACTACTCATGCAGCAGCAGGTACGTGTTTAATTGAGAGTGTGCATACTACCTTATGTGCATAAGTTTTTGCTCATACTGATCAGGCAGAAAGTGGCAGAAGAGAGGGGCGACGGGCGGGCGGTGCAGTAGAGTAGGGTGCCAGACTATTGGAGGTGCCAGTGTACTGAAGTGCCAGATTAGTGATACTCTACTAATCATTGCATGCATGTGCTGAACGGATACATGCAATAAACTTGTATGTACAAAGTACACACAATTGAACATAAGCAACAAACATCTTTTTTTGTATTTTTTTGGTATGAGTTTGGGGTATTCCAAGTAAGACATCATTATATTTTACTAACTATGACTTATGGAGCCTGCTTTTTAAAATTTGAGTTATAGAGTACAAATATGTATTATCGTTGCAGGGAAATAACATTTTATTCGAATGAAGGCAATTTCTTTTGTCTTATTGAGGATTACGACTTTATGAGGTCTGAGTTATTAAAATTCCACTGTAATTGATTGCACGACTTATAATAGAAACTATGTTTCAATATTTGAATAAATTCTTACTGTCCCTATTTCCCCTTGATATGGTCATTTACAACATGCATGAGAGACAATGCTCAAACTTACTTAGTATGTGCCATAAAAAGATAAATTTGTAACTCCTTCCACATGCACTCCACTGTCGCACAGATTTTTTTGCCCTTGCCCTTTTTGCCTTTTTCTGTACCTTGCTAGTTTTTACAAGATCTGAGATTTTTCTAAACTAATGGCAAAAGTAATAAATGACCAGCCATACTTAATGTAACAGAGTGTATGTACTGTCAAGTGAAATAATGTATTAAAACTGATATCTATTATGAATTATGACATGACTGATAAAACCAATACAGATTTGAATTTAAAAATTACATTTTGGATATACAGTACAACTAAAATTTAACTTTTTCAAAACTGAAAAATACTGTCTGGTCTGGTTAATAAGTCTACTGATAATTGAACATGGAGAAAATGTCTAATAATATAATGAATACTAAAGCATTAATGATTTACAGAAAAGTTTCAAAAAGAGAATTCTAATTCTGACTAAATTAAAGGGTAATTAAAAAACCATTATTTTACTTATATATAACTTTGCCATGAATATATCAGTGGTTCGATATTATTTTTAAGCACATTATGTTGTGTGTGTTACTGTGATGAACTATGGTTAGCCGTGGGTAAACAAGAAAAAGTGACCATAAAGGAATATGCTGAATCATGTGAAATGTACCTTAACCGAAAATGGTTAGTTTTATTTACATAAAATTAATACGTAATAAATTAAAGTGCAAAAGCATCATGATTATCTCTGATTCGTTTTAATTTAAGTCCTAGTAACTTCTTACTCATTACTTAAACGCAAAAATCTATGTTGAAAAACAATTCAATCTCACCTCTTCGCTTTTCATTACTTCCTTAAATTCCCTTTTAATACGTTTGGCTGCTATATTTGCCATATTAACAATTTAATCTATTTAAACTCAAGGCAATCAAAATGATGATTGACTAAATTTTTGTTTAGAATCTATCACTAACACTGCCACCATAGATAAATAGATATGTAGCAAGTAGGAATGAGCCCGATATATCAAAACGTAACTAATAACGTTATGTTATCAAATACCATATCGATAAACCTAAATACATAACCGTTATCACATATCCAACCAAAACCAAATAACCAACGTACGAAACGTAAAACGCAAACTGGCACGATATGCCAACACCGCCCACGAACTAACCGATGTAATTCGTTGATATTCGTTGTATCTCTTTCTTGCAACGGTATCATAAATACGTATAGAAAGAGATGAAGCGAATAAGGATTTCGTTGCGATGTTTTGGTAGTTAACACACAACTGTGCGCGCAGTGAAATATAATTATAAGATCGTTAACAATAATGTCGAATTTTAAATGGTTAAAATTGGCAAATTTTTTAATTTGTGTAGTTGAGTGTTGTCAAATTTAAATGATCTTTAAAACATTAAACACAACACCTAGATTTGTATGACCACACAGTTTAGAATTCGATTTTTTTTAAAAACGCAACAATTACGCATTTCACCTTGGTGGCGTGTGCCGATCTTTATGAAATTATCTGTAAAATTATTAAGTTTTGACGTTGATTTATTTATAATATTTTTGTGCATTTTGTACATTAGATTTAAAACTTTTATAATCATTAATAAATAAACTACCCTAAATAATTTTCTATATAAATGAATTATGTTTCCTTCTTATGAATACACTTTAATTATAGACTTTGAAATCAAAATCTGATCCTACGTCTCACTTAAATTTTTTTTGGGTATATACATTATAGAAATGAATAAAGATAAAAATAATGTAATTTTAGACATTTATAATACTATATTACTACATAACTATGAGTTTACATAAATTATACATTAACATACATGTCTAAATATTACATCTAAGATTATATTAGAGCCTCTGTCTTCTAAACTAAAATAATCGCATTAAATAAATGTTGCACTGGTTCTACAGTTTTCGATTATGTTTCGGTTGTCGTTTGCACTTTAAGATCAGGGACTTAAAACGTTATAAATAACAGAATGTATAACGTTATAATAACGTTATAATGGTATCGTTATCTCACCAAGCATAGTGTTTTCAATATTTAGTATAACGTTTTAAGAGTAACAGAACAAAATTGTGACGGGCAATTTAACGTTATTATAACGATAAAGACGCGACGTTGCCAAACCTATTCATTTTCAAAAGCGCGTGAATCCGCGCAACTTACGAGATGGGTGGGGCGTGGGATCCAATTGGTCTAATAGATAGCTTGGACGAACGAGGAATTCCTCGCACCGCACGCACTCCAGAAGCGAACTGGCAACGTTGTAAAGTGAATGAACATTTGATAATATCAGCCGCTTGCGAATTGCGATTTGCGACTTATTAATTCTTATACCTAGATAAATTTATTTATTTATTCTTTATTGCACCTAATATTTGTACAAAAGGCGAGCTTAACGCTATATGGCATTCTCTACCAGCTAACTATAAATTTATCACATTACATATATTTTTTTTATTTTTTTAAAGTTGATTCGAACTACACTTGTTTACAAATATTGAAAATGGATCGTAAAAAATTAATACATCTTATAGATATTTTAATCTTGATGAATAGTAAGACTTCAAAATGTTTAGTTGCTGGATACGAAAAAGTTTTGAAGGTAAGTTAAGCGAAAATCTTAGATAACGTGTAGAAGAATGCGCCTTTTTCAGTCAGTTTTTATTAAGAAAAATATTGTATTTATATATGTACAGGGTCTCCTAGAAAACAGGACACCAGCCTACTTTACCTTCTGTTAGAGCGTCGTCCTTCCCCAGTTGAGCCGACCCATTCGTACCACAACTATAGTACTAATATAGCTGCAGCCTGCAGCATAGCTCTACCACATCATACCTTGTCATATTTACCTGTTAGATAGGTACCTATTCATATCTTAATGCATTATACTTTTTCAGATTTACGCAAATATTTGACATTTTAAATAAATCTATCAATATTATTTTAGCCAATATCACAAACACTAGTGAACCGATTTTGATGAAATCGATATTATTCCCTAAGTTGAAATAAATGTAAGCATAATGATTTCTTATATATACGCGAACACTACACATTGAATAAAACTATTTTTACGGATTTTATCGCGTTTAATTAACTTATTTTATATTCCCGACGTTTCGGTTGCTTTCCAGCAACCGTCCCCCGTGACCACGGTTGCTAAAAGCAACCGAAACGTCGGGAATATAAAATAAGTTAACTAAACGCGATAAAATCCGTAAAAATAGTTTTATTCAATAAATGTAAGCAAATAATCCCTAAGTTGAAATAAATAAAAAACGAATGATCACGATCCGATTAGTTTCGAAAAAATGCGTGGACAAACATACACACATATACACACGTATAAAATTTTGTATATTTGCTTGGAAGCTCTAATAGATAATTATATGTGAATATTTTGCAGTTCCAATAATATTACATACATACGTGTCGAATTGATAACCTCCTTTTTTGAAGTCGGTTAAAAATTCAAACCGTCTTTGCGCTTAACAGAACATATCTTGAAAACTACTAAAGCGATTTGTATGAAAATTGCACTGTTCTTTAAGTTGAAAGATGCTTAATGTAATAAAAAAGTGTGTGTGTACTAATATATACGCACGTAGGAATTTACACTTTTTTAGCGTAACAAACCAAAAATAACTAAAAATTATATAGGATCCTAGTGACAATTAATTGACGGCTCCGTGGTGCAGTAGCTTAACAATGAGTAGCAGCGCTAAGGGCCGCGGGTTCGATTCCCGAACAGAATAAGTATTTGTATGGCCTACAAATAATTGTTTTAGGTCTAGATGTTTATCCTTGTGAAATCGATGTATGTAAACGTCTCCTGCAATACAGGAGAAAATCTAATTATAAAAGTAAAATTTGTAGAGATAACGTTTTTAAATATATATATATATATATATATATATATATATATATATATATATATATATATATATAATTTGTATTGATTAAGATTTTTGAACCTTATTAAGTGGCGAAGCTTGCGAAGTCACTTATTGATTTCACGATGTCTGTCCGTCTGTCCCACGATTATCTCGAGAACGGTTTCGAATTTTCAAATTCTGTTTCCAGCAATCGATTACTGAATACCCAGGCATCTGAACCTCCTATTTTGAAACTGATTGCTCAACGGCAACCGTTAGAAACCGGTACAAAGTTGATTGCTTCGCAACTTTGCTATGCTGTTAGCTTGCTAGGTTTATTATTCTTACTTTTACTCTTAATATTGTTTCACAAAATATCACGTTTACATCAATCACGTCTTTTGATGGGTAAATTTAACCTCTTTTATCTTTATGAATATAAATAAATTAAACGATTTTACATCATTATGCTGAGAAGCTCAGAATGCCAAACTGCGATACAATCTCCACAATTAAGTTTGTTTAGCAAAACTCTTCCTCTCTATCCACATTTAATATATTGCAAAATAATGTTCTTTTCTTATGTGCATGGTAAGAAAATCACTTAATATTAATATACTTTGAAGTGGCAGAGAATTATATAATATATATGTTGAATTCCTTTAGATCGAGAGCTGTGGTAGCTCAGATGGTTAGCGCTCGCTGTAAGCTTCACAGTACTCGAGCAACCCGGGTTCAATCCCCACCGGCACCAACGAAATTGTTACTTGCAATTTTACGTGCTGATTTAACACGTGCTCGGCGGTGAAGGAAAACATCGTGAGGAAACCTGCATGTCTGAGAAATAAGAAAAAAGAATATTTCGAAGACATGTGAAGTTCGCCAACAGGCATTGGGGCAGCGCGGCGGACATTTCCTTGCCCTAAAACCCTCTCAGAAATGAGAGGAGGCCTGTGTCCAGCAGTGGGACGTAAATAGGCTGCAACTTTACTTTACTTTAGTTTCCTTTAGATCTATCATATACTTTCTTTTGAGCATGTCCATTTATTAACTCTTTTCTTTGTCTATTATTCTTCTTTTTAAATTTGATATTTTTTTAACATTATCGTCTTTCTTGGTGTCACTTCAATACTACTGATTGGTGTAGTATAAGCAGATAATGATCTATGTGGAAGATCAACCTGGAATTCAAACAAATTAAATAGACAAGGCAGACTTATTGGAACGAAGTTCCTTATCGGACGGTACGAATCTGGCGGATGGGGGCTAGGCGAGAAAAAATGTAAGATTTTTCCGTCACGACCCCTTTTGACGTATAATAAAGCGAGATGGAATATTATCCATCTCCCTCGGACTTTTTCTTATCTTGTCATGAAAGAAATATTATTTTATTTTAAATCACGCTTTATTTTAAGAGACGCTAGTAATTCATCGTATTTGTTAATCAATAATTTTAGACTTTTATCAATATTAATAATATATTATACTACGAAATGTACTTCGTTCCAACCGAATGTTCCACGACACTCACGCATGTTTTTTTTTTCACATTACTTATGAAATTCAAGGGCAATCTGACATATAATCTAGTTTAACAATAATATATAGAAGAATATTTCAACTTCTATACAATTATTTTGTCTACACAATCCTTAATGTATGCAGTGAGATATTAAGAACATCATTTTATTGTTATGAATATAATACAAATTTTATGAACTATTTATTTTGAAACACTCATATTTCGAGTTGTATGTATTACTACAGTTGATAATTCAATTGCTGCGCTGACGACCACAAAACGTATTTTTTAGCCTATAACTTTAGAGCACTGCGTTCGATAGATCATACGAGTAAAGAGATGGCATAGAACAATAAATAATAACATTATGATTTTGTGATAACAATATTTTAGAAACGTTTATTTGACAAATTTATTGTAATGTAATTATAACGTTATATACATGCAAAGCTTTG